TAGGATGGGGGGAGTTATCCAACCCGAGAACCCAGGCCCCTTACCCAATTTGTAAACAATTTCTAGCTGGGAACTTATTACTCAGATTTCCCACTAAATCCAGAGTTCTTAATTAACATTCCACACTCCAATAAGAATTCATTAATTAATTTCCAATTGCGCCGCGGTCCGTCTACTGTAAACAATTGCTACTGTAAACTAAGCCGGGTCTCCTAAATGTAAACATTTACATCCGGTCAGCATCCAGCGAGGCCCAAAATTGCAGAAGTAATCTGTTTAATCGATTTCAAAAATCAAATCAATAATTTCATCATCCAATGCATTCCGACTCTCTTGAGTCCATCTCTTTTCCAATTCTTAACGAGTCCCTAGATTCTCTTAAACCGAGGTTTGCTTATCAGATAATCGGACCTTGATGAGGCAGTCCGTTTTGGGATCCGAATAGATCGGTTGACAAATTGAGTTTATGTGAGCAGTGTAAATTAATAAGTTCGATACTAAAAAAGTTGTGTAAACTAGTGAATAAGAAAAGTAAAAAATAAAACATTTTTTTTAACAAATTCGCTAAGCGGTAATTTAATTTGCATGAACACGCATACATACAAAGCCCAAATCAATGCGCGTCTCTGCGACTGAATTTTTATTGGCAATACGGATAGTCTCAGCTTAATTTTGGATTTTGCATGTGATAGGGCAACATCTAAACAACATTGTGAATTTTTTCATCCAAAAATATTAAAAATTGAGTGATATACAGGCAATCTCTGGCGGCGCGTCGAAGAAAACACGATTTGCGGTGTACACGATAACTGGTCACTGAATCATCTGAATTGAAAGAATCAAATTGCATTAGTTAAAGGACAAGATTCCTCAGGTAAGGCTGTCGAGTTTTTTTTTTTATTTTTTTTCGATTTGTTTGAGGCACTTGAAATTAAAAACCCCGATTTTCGCCCAAAACGTCGCGATATTTGTTGCTCTAAAAATAATACAATTAAAAAAAAAAAAAAATCTACAGCATTATCTTAGTAGAGAACAACTGTGAAAATCTCAAAACGATCCGTCCGATATATTTTGCAGGATAGTGTACACCGACTTTGAAATGGCAACTTTTCAGGAGAGCGTTTTAAAGTTTGGGACACCCAAAAATTGAATATAAAACGCGCTTACTTACCTACGTTCAATTGCCCATAAGTTGGGATTGATCTAAAATTTTAACACAATATTCTCAAAATGTTGTACATTCAGAAAAAACGAGGACTGAAGCTAACTTCGGCAAGCCGAAGTTTTAATACCCTTGCAGACTTTGCCGAAATTGCTAAAAGTGAAAAAGTAGCGAAAGGAATAAGGTATACATAAGTAAACTAGATTTGCATCGTTTCAAGTCAATTGCTTTTATACTGCAAAAATATCATATACAAATAGAAAAAAAAGGGTACCTTTGGCAGCCTTTAACAATTTTTCCTATCTCCTTTAAGATATAGACTTCCGAGCGGCAAGCGCTTTTTCCCTAATCAAGATATGCGTAAATAAATAAGAATTGGAAAAATTTGTGTTAGTAGCTTACACACTGCGCGAAATATTCTGATAATCATCAAATTTGGACCGATTTCACCCAATTGTTCCTATGGGAGCTATAGGATATAGACGTTCGATCGGCACGCGCTTTCACCTTGATTAATGTATGCATCAAAAAATACGATTTGGAAAGATTCATGTCAATAGCTTGTATACTGCGCGAAATATCCTAAAAATCATTAAATTTTAACCGATTTTACCCTTTTGTTCCTATGGGAGCTATAGGATATAGACGTCCGATCGTCACGCGCTTTTACCCTGATCAAGGTACGCATAAAAAAATAGATTTGGAAAGATTTATGTCAATAGCTTTTACACTGCGCGAAATATCTTCCATTCTTGCAAGCTATATCCGATTGTTCCTATGGGAGCTATAGGATATAGACATCCGATCGGGGCGGTTTTCAATCTTGATCTGCGTACACTTGTTTTAGGACGACTGTAAAAGTTTCAGATCGCTAGCTTTTAAACTGAGCTCGCAAACGGTATTGAAACAGACGGACAGACGGACATGGCTATATCGACTCCCCTATTGATCCTGATCAAGAATATATATACTTTATAGGGTCGGAAACGTCTCCTTCACTGCGTTACAAACTTCTGACCAAAATTATAATACCCTCTGCAAGGGTATAAAAATGCGAAATAAAAAATTTTAATACTATACCCCCGTAATACTGTACCCGCCGTCTCTTCGAAAGTTACATTCTGTCGGCCAATATCATGAGCCAAAGAGCGTCATGTTTTTGAAAATTCAATCTATCAATCTGAATCCAATCAATTGCATATGTGAAATGCGAGATCATTACAATCAACGACAGGTCGGCCAAGGTTCGGATGGACAACGCCACCGAAATCTGAGTGCATGACTTTCGACGATCGCGCTACGAAAAAGGAACTTAACCGTCAGCCAAGATGTTACTCACTATTGTCGCTTGAGTAAAGTTTATTTTGAAGCGGTCCAAAAGCTCAAGGAGGAAATTGCAAATGAGTGTGCGTATTGTTCTGTAGAACAATTCAGGTCATCGACCGATGTCGTGTATACACTTGAAGGCGAATAGTTAACTAAAGTCACCGATCTCGGGACATAAACAACACCAGCCGCGTTGCTATAGAATCATTTTAATTGTATTGTATTCTTATATCTTAGCACATTGGTACATCGCGTTTAGTTATAAGATATACATACAGGTTATTACTATTTTTAGAAAGTTTGAAACAATTTGCCAAGATCCTATAACAGATTTAGGTTATATCCAAATATAGAAAACAAGTATATACAGGTAAATACAGGTATAAATTTTATATATAAAATAAATAATACAATTTTAAGCCTTTCAATTCTAATAACCAATCGATTCGTTTTTTTTATTATTTTTTGTAATCTTAAGTAAAATTAAAATGGTAACTTTTTGGCATCCTATAAACGATTTAAGATAAAAATATACCTTAAATTCTCCACCAGCTGCGCAAGCGGAGCTGCGCTAACCCTGCCAGTAAATCTAGAAATTAACTTGACCTTTTTTCTTGCGAAGGATCCGCTTTCAGTGCAATCATATTTAATTATAAACAGTCCAACTCAAAGCGACTTATTAACATACAAAACAAACATACAGTGGCTCACAGCTTAAAGTATGCACTTCAAACCCCTAACTTCAAACTTCCATAGTGTTAAAACTATTAGGCGTACTGCAACAAATGTGGTGTCAAATTAAAGATGATATTGTTTAGATTAAATTAGTGACTTCATTTATTGTCTACTTCTTCGTTTTATAACCAAAACATAACAAAATAATAAAATACTGCTTATTTCTACCTCACAGCTTATTTTATGCAGCACCAAAATATAAAAATATTTGGAAAGTATTTATTTTTTTGTTTGTTTAGTATTTAGTGTGGTAGCCTTTAGTGTCTATTACCGCTTGAAGCCTTTTTGGCATCGAATCCACTAATTTTTTCGTCAGATCGGCTGATATAATGCTCCTCTCTTTGAAAAGAGCATCCTTCAGCTGGTTTTTGTTCGAAATGGAGTATTTTCGAATATTATTCTCCAAAATTGCTCGATCACGTTTAGTTCTGGAGATTGAGACGGCGGAATCATGATATGGGGACAGTTGTAGCTCAGCCAAGACTGCACAATACCCGCCTTGTGCTTTGGATCATTGTAATGATAAAAACAGAAATTTGACCTTATTCCCAGATCCTCCGCACTTTGCAACAAATTGTCCTTGAGAATATTGAGATATTTCATTTTGTCCATTGTAGACTCAAAAAAGTCCAGTTTTCCCGGACCAGCAGCGGACATACAGGCCCAAAAGCCATTTATATGCCCCGAAAAATAAGTTGTCCAGGCTAACATATGCCAAAGCTCACCTATTGATGACACCAGACTTTTGGAACACTGTAATTTTTGCAGATGAATCAAAATTTAACATTTTTGGATCGGACGGAAATGCTTATGTTTGGCTAAAAGCTAATACGGAGCAACAGAAGCAGAACTTAAAGGCTACAGCAAAGCACGGTGGTGGGCACGAGATGGTTTGTGCGGAGGATCTGGGAATAAGGTCAAATTTCTGTTTTTATCATTACAATGATCCAAAGCACAAGGCGGGTATTGTGCAGTCTTGGCTGAGCTACAACTGTCCCCATATCATGATTCCGCCGTCTCAATCTCCAGAACTAAACGTGATCGAGCAATTTTGGAGAATAATATTCGAAAATACTCCATTTCGAACAAAAACCAGCTGAAGGATGCTCTTTTCAAAGAGAGGAGCATTATATCAGCCGATCTGACAAAAAATAAGTGGATTCGATGCCAAAAAGGCTTCAAGCGGTAATAGACACTAAAGGCTACCACACTAAATACTAAACAAACAAAAAAAAAATAAATACTTTCCAAATATTTTTATATTTTTGGTGCTGCATAAAATAAGCTGTGAGGTAGAAATAAGCAGTATTTTATTATTTTGTTATGTTTTGGTTATAAAACGAAGAAGTAGACAATAAATGAAGTCACTAATTTAATCTAAACAATATCATCTTTAATTTGACACCACATTTGTTGCAGTACGCCTAATAGTTTTAACACTATGGAAGTTTGAAGTTAGGGGTTTGAAGTGCATACTTTAAGCTGTGAGCCACTGTACATATGTATGTACATATGTCGGGCACTCCCACTTATTACGTAAGTCAACTTAAAAAACACATTTCAAACTTTTAAAAAGTGGGCTGGATGAGAATCCCCCCGGCATTAAGAGATGTTGGATAGATTAACGATACAATTTTTTGATTAAAAACTGAAAGAACAAGTGTATTGGCTATAATATTTTCTTCTAACTGCCGAGGTATATATACTTCGGCTTTTGTTTAGGTTTTTTTTAAAGTTACTCAACATTTTACAGAATAATCATAGGAAATTCACATTCTTGTAAAGGTGAAATATAAACTGATTTTATTTCGAATAGAATTGTTCACAAATTATTTATTTCACTATTTATCTTACAAAAATATATGCAATATTCGATTTTTCAAGTGGACGGAAAAATTATAGTTTTAGGAATCCATACTCTCTAGTTTTGTAATGCTATATATCGGTTTGAATTCTTCCTTGTGCGGATTCTGGACGTCGTGGACGAATTGGCTCAGATGCAAAATAATTGTGAGATTGCGATGAAGCACACGGAATAGCCGCGACGTGTGCCTGGTTCTGATAGTAGTCATCTCCGTATTCACTGACTTCCCGATTGCCAATTTCGTTTAGACGCTTATATCTCTCCCGCCGTGCTTCCACCATGTAAAGCACACCAGGAGGCAATAACAGCACAGCTCCAACCACGCCCAATGCAAATGACCAACCCATATCATTGTTTTGCCATCCTGGCATCCAATCGCGAGAGTCTCCCTTGGCCCCGAAAACTACCACAGCAATAAATCCAAACACTGAGCCCACAACTTGGCATGAGCCAATCGTCAGCAGCAGCACAATGTATCGGTCATCATCGCGAGAAGTGCGAAGGAATACTACAGTCAGTAGCAGGGCAATTAGGCACATAACAAAGCACAGTGTTGCAAAAAGTTGTACACATATGTAGAAACCAGGCAGAAGAAAGTCGTGAATGATGTAAAATTCCTCTTCAAAAACCCACTTGCAACCGTTAAAGCGATTGTCAAAAAATCGGTGTATGTCCTGGAAGTTGTTAAAACAAACTTCCCATAGGCCCAGGTTAGTAAGTCTTGGATCTTTTGAACGCCCGTCTGTGACCAACCAATAGGGAGTTGAAAACGCGATAACGAAGAGAATTACGGAAAACACGGATACGCAGAGAGCCACTTGCGTGCTGTAGTTGAACGGCCCCATTTCTTTTGCGTTAAATATCTTCCACCGTCTTACTAAATTAAATGCGAACTGGAATAGTTTACAAACACGCCCCAAAGTGTGACCGTCTTATCATAATGGATTTCAAGAAACTCTGTGCTTCAATAGTAACGGTGAATTGACGTCGAAAATGGAACAGTAGATGTTTGGAACATCGCAGCATAATAATAAGGGAACGGCCAAAAATATAACAACGAAAAATATAATTAAAAACTTTAGACGGATAAGCGGCCAACTTGGCAATTCAACGCAATAAAATTATTGTTTGATGTAGATTTTCGGCAACCCTAATTAATTAGTACCTAAATCAACTCTCGCTTTAAAATACAAAAAATGTTAATAGTTATCGTCTTGTCTTCCCATGTCAGCTACCGAAACTAACATTTTTTAAAGATTTAAGCCTAGTACTCAGATCGACAAGCGAATACGCTAGCGTAAAAACTTTAATCTATCCAGAGTGACCAACATTTCGAGAGTTCATCAGAATTAAGCGTGCTACGGTCGTACTGTCAATCAGCTGGTTGACAGCTTGTTGACAAGCAGTTAAGATTCAAATATCGTATTTGCGGGAAAGAGATATTATCAACTAACTTGGCAAAACAAGTCTGAAATGAAATTAATAAACAATTACAATTTAAACAGTTGTTTTTTTTTATTTACTAATAATTATTTGCTAATTTAAAGTTCATAGCTGCACTTTTTTAAGTTTTTTCTTACAATTTTGAGCTAATGCCGTCTTCCCACAGAGATCCAACCACCATCAACCATCCGTTGAACGGATAGTCCTTCAGGTTTTGCCGTTCCGAAAATTCCGAGTTATGCCCTCTTCCCACAGAGCTCCATCCACCATCCACCATCCGTTTAACGGATGGTCCATAAGGTTTTGCCGTTCCGAAAATTCCCAGTTAGTTCCCCATCCAAATTTGCCGGACTTTTTTATGCGATAGTTAGGCGATGTTTTTTGGTGCAACTCTGAATTCTTCTTCTTGACAGTGGAAATTGGAACATTCACTACGAAAATTTAAAAAAAATAATGGCGGGTAACTTTTGAACAGGAAGACGCCAATTCAAAAAATGCAGTTTATACTTGTAATAATTAATTAATTACTGCTCCATCCGTGTGGCAGCATTAGGTGTTGCTTCACTCTTTCCTAGGCGCAAATACCTTACTCACAACATTAAGCAGAACTTTTAAAATGAAATAAAATATGAAATTATAATAAAACAAAAAACAAACATTTATATATAATGAACTTGATTTGTTACCATTTAGACAATATTTGGCAATAGCTGTTCATATTTTGTCTGCAGGCTGGCAAAAATCTGCAGACGTATTAGTTCGATTTGATTGTTCGCGTAGATCACTTGCAGTCTGTTACCAAGTATCATTTATAACGCTGTTGTGCTCATTTTAAATGTTGTGCAAAATGCAACGGGCTAAAATGATGAGCCACAGCTGTTCAGATCAGCTGTTATCGGATGGTGGATGGTGGATGTGCTCTGTGGGAATCGGAGTTTCACATTTGTCAAAAATCCCAACCGTTTCAGACGGATGGACTCTATGGGAAGAGGGCATTAGTTCCCCATCCGAATTTGACGGACTTTTTTATGCGATAGTTAGGCGATGTTTTTTCGGTGCAACTCTGAGTTCATCTTCTTGACAGTATAAATTAAAACATTTACTACGAAAATTTAAAAAAATGATGGCGGGTAAGTTTTCAAAAGGGAAAGCGCCCAATCAAGTAATGGCAGCGAGCGCAGGCCGAGATCATGTAATTGAATTGAGTTTGGCTGTCTGCCATCCTTAATATTAAAAATGAAATAAAATATGAAATTATAATAAAACAAAAAACAAACATATATAATAAACTTGATTTGTTACCATTTAGACAATATTGGGCAAAAGCGGTTCATATTTTTTCTGCAGGCTGGCAAAAATCTGCAGACATATTAGTTCGATTTGTTTGTTCGTGTAGATCACTTGCAGTCTGTTACCAAATATCATTTATAGCGCTGTTGTGCAAAATACGACGGGCTAAAATGATGAGCCACAGCTGTTCAGATCAGCTGTTATCGGATGGTGGATGTGCTCTGTGGGCATCGGAGTTTCACATTTGTCAAAAATCCCAACCCTTTCGAACGAATGGACTCTATGGGAAGAGAGCATAAGAAACACTTTGCTCTGACAAGAGGGACCCAAGGTAGTATAATGTTATTTTGTCCTCACATGTAAACTCCTGAAATCGACTTTTGCGTGTTTTTAGTTTTTTTTTCTCCATTATTTAAAATGTTCAGTGAGTAGCGCACGCCAAAAGATTACATTTTTTAATCTTTTCGCTAGGGTTGACCCAAAGTTCATTTCCGCAGACTTTCAACGCTATGCAATTTTCTGGTATTTTTTTCGTCGATCTGAGGATCGAGGTGAAAGAAACCATTGACGAAAAGTGGACGCCAGGTGTTTGCCTCTCGCTCTCTCTCATGACTGGCGTACAGTTTTCGTTGATCTGAGTACTAGGCTTTAAAGACGAAAAGAAGGATGGAAATGTAACAAAACAAATCATAAAATTGCTTTAGCCATATATCATCAAAATTAAATTTATAAATCTTCTTTAATTATTTATATTGCAGGTTCTGTAACAGTTCACTAAAGAAAACTTCATAAAAGACTAAGAGCCTTATCCGAATCCTGAGCAATAGAAATCCCAATCAAAAAATTAATGTTGATCTGAAACAAGACTAAGACTTAATAAACAAGAAAGGAAAGCTAACTTCGGGCGGAGCCGAAGTTGATATACCCTTGCATAATAAATTAAATTTGGGTCTTATACGCATGCCCAGCGGATCGGCTGTGATTTTTCTTACATATGTGAAATTCCTGGTCTCACCGAGCTTACCATTCACCATCCAAAAACAGCTGACTATAGTTAACTATGGCGTGAGCAGAATTTTTAAATAGGGAAGTTTAATGCCGTCTTAAATAAAATTTGAAATTATAATATAACAAAAAAACAAAAATTTATATATAATGAACTTGATTTGATACCAGCACTAACCATACAACAAATAGACTGGTCATTTCATACAACGAAAATGGACACAAAAGTTTCAAAATTTAGACAATATTGGGCAAAAGCGGTTCATATTTTTTCAGCAGGCTGGCAAAAATCTGCAGACATATTAGTTCGCTTTGGTTGTTCCCGTAGATCACTTACAGTCTGTTACCAAGTAACATTTATAACGCTGTTGTGCTCATTTTAAATGTTGTGCAAAATGCAACGGGCTAAAATGATGAGTCACAGCTGTTCAGATCAGCCATTATCGGATGGTGGATGGTGGATGTGCTTTGTGGGAATCGGAGTTTCCGTTTCGAACGGATGGACTGTATGGGAAGAGTGCATAAATTATATCAAACTGTTTTAAGGTTCTATTAAAGTATCTTCCCACAGAGATCCATTAACCATCCGTTGAAGGTCCATAAGGTTTTGCCGTTCCGAAAATTTCCCAGTTAGTTCCCCATCCAAATTTGACGGACTCTTTTTGGCGATAGTTACGCAATATTTTTCGGTGCAACCCTGGGTTCTTCATCTTGGCAGAAAAAACTCAAACATACACTACGAAATCTTAAACAATAAAGAGGGGGAACTTTTAAAAATGGTAGTCACCGAATTAATAGGTATGAACAATAAATGTTGTTTATATTTGTATTAATTCATTTTTATTAATTTTACAGTCTATAATTTGCGAACCGGCGGTGGCAAGAGGAGGTGGACTATGCAGATGGAGCTCCTGTTGATCGACATTCGGCTGGAGAACATCGAGCAGTTGCGGGAAGCCCAGAAAGATGTCCATGTGAAGGTTATAATATAATAGGGCGGCCCTGTGGCGGTGCAGCCCCTGGATGAGTCGGTAGTGGCGAGGCATGGAGTGGCTGCTGCCCACGTTGTAACTTTGGGCGGGTAACCGTGCCGCTCCTGGATGGCCGCTAGTGGTGTGGCACTGATCGGTGGCCCGCTGAATAGCTGCTGTCCACGTAGCCAGTGTCGACGGGGCTCGAGAGAGTCCGCTGTCGATATATAAATTGAAGTTTACGATGAGAGGGTGACTGCCCTATACTCCAGGCCTTAAGCTCAGTGGGCGAATATCAATAAAATAACGGCGATGGCCAGCGTAATGTTCACGAGCACCTCGCGATAGGGTGCTGTGGAGGCGTTCAATTTGCCCGTTTGAACTACTGTGCAGCGGGGGTGCATTTACAAGATCTATGCCATCTTGCTTTTGAGTAACGATATGATCGTTTCGGAGTTGAAAGATAATTTGTTATCACAGTATATTTGGGAATAAGTTTTTTAGTTGGATGATGGGGATTTTTGACCTAGATACTATCGGTTGAACTGTTGCAAATTTGGAGAATTTGTCGATGCCAATTATGCCCTCTTCCCATAGAGTCCATCCGATCGAAACGGTTGGGATTTTTGGCAAATGTGAAACTCCGATTCCCATAGATCTGATAACAGCTGATCTGACCAGCTGCGTCTCATCATTTTAGCCTGTTGCATTTTGCAACATTTAAAATGAGCACAACAGCGTTATAAATTTGAAGCCACAAATATAAGTCTGGGGATATACTCTCGTTCTCCAAGGTGTTTTGCTCCATGTTGTGAGTATGGTATGCGCCAAAGAAAGAGTGGAGCAACTCTTAATGCTCCTACACGGATAGAGCAGTAATTAATTAATTATTACAAGTATAAACAGCATTTATTGATTTGGCGCCTTTCTTTTTCAAAAGTTAACCGCCATTATTTTTTAAATTTTCATACGGAATGTTTCAATTTTCACTGTCAAGAAGAAGAACTCAGAGTTGCACCGCAAAAACTAACTACCGCATAAAAAAGTCCGTCAAATTATTATCCGGAACTAACTGGGAATTTTCGGAACGGCAAAACCCTATGGACCATCCGTTCAACTGATGGTGGTTGGATCTCTGTGGGAAGACGGCATTAGAAAAAGTTTTTTATCGGTTGAAAAAATATCGATATGGAACCTTTCGCCGACATATGGCGGATTGGTGTTAC